TTGAATTGTTTTAGGATCACGAAATTCACACAGTATATTCTACCTTCCTTCAAATATAAGTGAATGCCAAAAAGTTTTTGAAGTAACATTTGTTTATTTGTGGGGCCTCAGACAGCAAAATTGCTATTACTAACACTAATACACTTTACCAGATATTTGTTTTTAAAACCAATCAACCAATAGCGAAGCAACAAATAGTGGATTAAAAGATATCAGAATTTTAACATATACAATGAAGAGTCACTTTGAATTTTTGAAGGGTTAATTATGCATAAGTGAATCAATTTCTTGAATTACTACTACATATAACCTCAAATTAATGACAAAAAAACATGTGCAACTCACTACACTTCTTTGGCGATCTCTATATCTTTATAACGAATAAGCAATGATTGGTGAAAGAAAGAGAGAATACCAGAATTTTCAGGATTTATGTTTTCCAACATATTTTATCTTTAGGACACCTAAGGAGTATTACTTTAATACGTTTTTATGTGTGCTTATGAAACCGTAAACTATCAATAACTACAAGGAATTAGAATTAATACATAATAATACTCACTCTTAAGTACATATTAATTGTTGTTAAATAAACATTTACTGTAATACACTTACCGTAATATAATTGCACATATAAAACCAAAAAATTAATTTAACACTATGGTATAGTGAATATAGGGGAGACTGGGGCTGGTCGTGACAGGGGTAGATAGTTACAGCGGCAACGGTGGCTATTTTGATGTAAGAAAGACACAAATGATTAGTCCACCACCGATTAGCATGTTTCGCGAGCTAGTGGCGCCAGCGCTTTTGTGAGAGGAACCCTTACGTGTTGGCATCAAAACCGCAGGTTAGTAACATTTTCATTTTTTCCTAATATTGGTCTACAACCTCTTTTCCTTTAAAACAGATATGTGTGTGTTGTTATATTTGTGCCCTAATCCTTTCTTTTTGCAATGAATCGACGTTTATACAATTACACTTATTTGAGGTTTTACTACTTAACCTTGAAGGGTCAGTTTTGGCGTTGGGGCTAAAAGTGACATTTTCTCGGGGCAGGTTGTTGTTTGTACTACTGCCACGTAGTGGTGCACAGGAACAGAGCAAGAAAAAGGAAATTACGTCAAAAAAAGGAAGGTAACTAAGAAAGGGAAGTCAACTGAGCCAGGAAAGATGAAGAGGGAAAAACACCTAAGGAAACAAGCAAGAAGGCTGTGAAACGGAAGGTCTTACATGACTCTGAGTCTAACGAAGGAAGTATAGATGATTATTTTTGCCTGATATATTGTGAACCGTTTGATCAGAGTCGAGCTGGTGAGGAATGTATACAGTGTGTTGTTTGTAAGAAATGGTCACACGTAAGATGTGCTAAGGGAAATGTTTTATCCTGCGTATGTTAGAATTGCGAAAGTGATTAATCAGACTATAGTGACTGAACTGTTTTTTAGCTTGTTGTTGTTTTAACAGGGAAAAAGACTGCTATACAGACATTGTAGTTTGACGTTGTAGACATAATAATAGTAATAAACTGTCATTGTTCTTAATAAATAGTGTTATATTACATTTTGCCCCTTATAGTGTAACAACCAGCCCCTGGCACGGGGCTAAAAGTTACACGTCTCTTTTCCCAGAATTTATTTATTTATGTCTCTTCTAATAGTCCGGTATCTAAAATTGTTTTTAAATTAATAACCCAAATAGTTATTTAATCAAACAAACCCACATTCCGGTAAAACAATCAAATAAACAAAAAATTGCGACACGTTATTAAAAAAATGTCACGACCAGCCCCAGTCTCCCCTAATCCACTTTCCAAAATTTTATTGCAGTCCACTTTTTGAACGAACCTGGATCGCAGTCCGCAAGTTGCAAGCCGTTGGCCTAGAGATTTAGACCATTGATTAGCATTCAGGAGGACATCAGTTCGATTCCGGGTTCTTCTGCCCTTGTCCAAGTTTTTTGTGGTTCACTTAAGAAAATGCTGGGACAGCAATTTTCCATAGAAAAATATTTCACTCCGTTTTGTCTTCATTTCGTCCGTCTTATCTTTCTCATACCATCCACCACCCTTCCAATTCCCACGATTCCTAAAACGAGGCTGAAGAGGGTCTTCTTCCTTCCCTTCCGTAATCCGGAGGGACTGCCCGCCCACCACCTATTACTGCTGGTGAGAATGAAACACCCAAAAGATTTTTTTTAGAGACGCCACAAAATTGCCTTCAGTTATTTAGCCGTTATGGTTTTGGAAGAATCCTTTCAAACAAAGAAGAGTGGTGCGCGACCGTCGCCGTCGTTTACAGACGCCAGCCTAACTGCCAGTGGCGTCCAATTCGTGACGTGAACTTGTCCACACATGTGGTGTGCTAAAAGCGACTGTGGACATATTTTCCTGGGGTTATATTATATTATATATTATTATATTATATATATTATATATTAGCATCTAGTAAGGAGGGGTTAGAGATAGCTTTAAATAAAATAGAAGTGGTATTGACAAAATAGTATTGCATGAAAATAGATAAAAGTAAAATAAAAATACTGGTATGCAAGGGAAGAGAAAGTAAGAAAAGAGCGAATATAAAGATAGGGGACGGAAGATTAGAAGAAGTGGCTGATTTAAGGTATCTAGGAAATCAGATAAGTCAAGACGGAAGGGTCGAATCGCCTTCATTCTTATGCTCGCGAACAGTTAATTTAGAAATTCGAAAAAGATTGATAAGGATGGATGTTTGGAGCGTAGCGCCGTTCGGGTGAGAAACATGGAAAAAGTTAGCATTCGAAATCTGTTGTTACCGGCGAATGATGAGGATATCGTGGATAGAAAAGGTTAGAAATAAAGAGGTATTAGAGAGAATAGGAGAACAGAGGACTCTATGGAATAGGCGAGATACAGTTGTAGGACATCTTCTCAGACATGAAGGTCTAGTCAGAGAAATATTAAAGGCAGAAACAGATGTTAAGGGGAGTAGAGGTAAATTTAGATTAGATTCGTACATAGTTAAGGATGTGGGTTGTTCTAGTTTTAGGGAAACACGAAGATTAGCTCAGGATAGGAAAGAGTGAAGGTGGGTGTCCAATCAGTCTTAGGACTGAGAATATGATGATGATGATATTACTATTATCATCATGGTTTTCGATAGTTATCGCTTTTTGGTCGTAGTTGAAAATAAACTCGCTATCTAGGATCCTCGGTGTGAAAAGAATATTGATCATTGTTTGTGGAGTCTCCACGCTTTCATTCTTTTTTCTCTTCATTTCGTCCGTCTCATTTTTCTCACCCGAACCACCACCCACCCATTCCCACGATTCCTGAAAGGAGGCTGAAGAGAGTCTTCATCCCTACCTTCCGGCGTAGTCCGGAGGGACTGCCCGCCCACCAGCATTAGTGGCTGGTGGGAACGAAACATCCAAAAGTTTTTTTTTCCACACTTTATATGTTGTAGTAAAACTAGAGCAAGAAGTAAACTTTCCTAATCGCAGTCCATATTGAACTGATGCATCAGTTCACCTACTGGCCGCGAAAGCCTTTACTAATTTGTCAGAGTCCATATTCTTTACTCATATACAACAGCTACTGACGTAAAACTATCCAGATGAAGACACGCAGAGGTGCTAGCAACTTCTGGCGTCTTTCTGATGTGGCACGACCAAAGTCCTTCTGTTTTCGCCCTAATAAATAATTAATATAAAGGTTACCTAGTAGGCTAACTCAAAATCTTATTTTATGTTATGTCTAATTAACACCACCTAGAATACAAAGTCGGAGTGTTGAAATGCGACGTCAATACTAGGAGGCCTACGATCATTCCGCTTGTCTCCGATCTTGGTATCGTTGCTATTGGGAATACAGGGAACTTAAAAATTTAAGGCTTTCATGTTTAAAAATTGGGCACATTCCCATTGTTCTTTTGGTTAGGTAAAAACAAAATTTCAAAACAATGCCAACCACATTGCACCGTGTAGTTTACCTTTAATAAGAAACATCAACATCAACAGTTAATAAGAGAATGCGCCACAACTTTTACATTATGATCTTCGTAATCATTTAAATGAAGTACCTAAATATTCTACATGTATTACATTTTATGTAGGGGGAAGTTTGGTGTGCTTGATTATAATTAGCGGAAACCAACCTCTTGACTCTCGCCTTGTTGTTAGGAATGTCAACCTAGTTTTCTTCGTTTTACAGAGGGCGATATAGATAGAATAAGTAGGTGAGTTCAAAGTTAAATAACGCATTGGTTTCTAATCATATAAAATGATACAAAATCGATCGACAAGCAATGCTTTCTCTGAAGGCTTTGAGCTTCTTCGTCATAACCCGTTGTATCGATGGATTCACTTCTTCGGTCCAACTGTCCAACTTTTTCAAGTTATTGGACAAAAGTTTGCAAAGTTGACTTTAGGTCTGTTTTTTTGCTGTTCCATTACTTACAATCAATTAGGTATCAATTAGTAATCAATGGGGAGAATATTTGCTATGATTTGATATGAGAGTAGATTAAAAGTCAATGGGTGATTCAGCTATGAAATCGTTCATTTATTGTCTTTGTCGCCTTTTGTACTTTCTGTAGGTACTGAACAACATTTGTTCCCGCTTATTGTATGAAGTATTATAAAAAACCAAATGCGTACCATACGTTTTTGAACAAAATCGGTCTACACGTCATCTCTCATAAATCGTGTTACTAATACACTTTACTAAACATTAACCGCCCCGATTCCTGCAGCATAAAAAATTCTATACCGATTATTAAATTTGACCTCGAATTAACAACAACGTTGGTCTAAAGAATTTCTTTTTATCGTCGATATAGAAGTATGGAAGCAACGTCGCACAGAAATATATCACGACCAAGGAAAAGACCATTGTGTTGTTGAAGAATGACAGACAAAAGCCATGTCAGACAATATTAATGTAATATTTTAGCATTTGTTTATTTCACAGTTGTAGTCATATTTTCACTGGTTGTATATATGCAGGAATAGATAGTACTTACTTTCGGTTGACGTAAATGATTGTTGTCGTTGTTGTTCTGATCGATATGACGTTGACCTCACTAGTCCGGTAATCCCGGTATTAACTGCATCGACGGACATACTCCGATTATGTGTGCGGGCCCAAAGTTCGTGTTGTTTTCCCCTTTTTCGTTCCGCACTCAATCCACTTAAGTGCTCATTAAGAGAGTACAGTTTCTGGGTAATGTCCTTCCCTACAAATTAAAAATTAAAACTTATTTTCATATGAAATTAGCAACCAGACAGACGGTCTGTAACAATACTTCTAGTACAATCTTTACATAATATAAAAAAATTGGACCTTAGTTTCAAACTTTAAAAAATGGATAAAATAATTAAAATATATTTTTTATTTTTTTATCAAGTAAATCATAAAAAGAAAATAAATATTATGTTCTTCAAGAGCATATAGTACGGTAGACATTTATAAATCCAACGGTTTCTTTAGCATCAGAAAATAGACTGAACGACAAGTCGATATCATTATTCGAACATTTTTGAATCCCACGGAAATGTAGAAATTTGCTACAGATGGCGTTCACGACGCTGTTTCTAATAATTCATAAAACATTGTCTAAAGGCAGCAGGTAGAGTTGGGCTGTATTCTGTTGGCGTGCTGACGAGATCCAATGAGATCGAAATCGCTATCCATGTCTAAAGGTTTCGACAGAATAACGACTACCATTAACTTTTAGATCTATTTAATGCGTGTCTAGCACGTAGAAATTGTTACGCCGTGGGTTTAGTTCGACGTGTCAATATTCTTATGAACTTTATGGCCTACTGTAAAGTGTATTTTAAATACACGTCTGGAAAAATGTCTTAAATGTTTTGAAAATTCAGTTCAGTTTTTAGAGAACTTTATCGATAAAATCTACTCCTACTATTAGAAAATATGATACGATTCCTTCAATTTGACCTTCGTTCAAATAGCTTTACACTGATCACTCAAATAAATAAATTGATCTTGAGTAAAATAAGAAACGTCGTAGATAGCTCGTCGTGGAAACCTGCAGGCTTAATAGTCTAATAACGCTTATTGGAATTTACGATCAACCAATATGACGGTTTTATTTACGTTTGATACGCTTGACATCAACTGAACATACTAGTCCAGGCAATATGGGCGGATGAGTGGGAAAAATTATTCGGATTAAATTTTTTTATTGTTTAAATCACGATTGTTTAAACAAGCGGTAAAAACAACTTTTTTTACTGGAACAATTTTTTATATTCTTTGGTTTAATCCCGATGAAAAAGGTCTGAAGTTTTTTCTGTAAAGTTAATATTTTCCAAGTTAAGAATTTTTGAACGTCTGAATATATAAGTATTTATTTAAACAATTGTGATTTAAACAATACCCGACCGGGTTACCTCGTTGTAGGTATATATAGGAGAATCTTCCGAACAAAATTGAGTAAAAAATTATTTCCCATTCACCCTCCCATATTGCCTGGATTATACACGATGGCTTCATATAACCATCACGAATTTCAATCGATGATCCATTGGCGAAAATAATGGAACTCGGTTATAATGAACGTTTGGTTGTAATGAACTTTAAAAAACAAAATTACACTTCATTTATTGCAAATGTATTTATTACCAACAATCGGCTTTAGCAGATGGTTTTGAATGGAAAATTAGCAGATCTTTTTCGGTTATAACGTACTAATAGATACTGAATGAATGTGACTTCAAAATTCTTACATTGTTATTTATTACCTCTCTTCGGAATAAGTTTACCTACTGTTGTATTTTTCTGAAATAAATATTTATAAAAGTTAGCGATTTTTTTATTACCAAAGATATTAATGGAAAATTGCCTGTAATGAACAACCGGCTATAACAAATAGTATTCTTAGCCCCTTCGTGTTCATTATAATCAAGTTCGAGTGCATATCTCCTTAAATTATAATAACTTTCTCATTTTGGTTTTCCTTTAGGTTGTATAAATAATTTAACTTACCGATTATGCAGTCCAAAACCGTTTTAAGCATGGGCCTGTGACGTAAAAACCGCTCTAGTTTCATTCTGGACCAGCACACGTAGACGCTGTCCTCTTCGGCAGTAATGGTAACTTGAAAAACGTCATCCGATTGTTCATGATTCGCTTCCCATTCGGGTGAATCGACGAATTGGTGGATGTTTATGTAATGCAGATGGGTGTCGTTACACGTAACTCGCAACCTGTTCCATCAATTTCCATTAACGATAAAATGGAATACGATAAGCTACGCTGCATTTGACCTAATTACTTATAACGCTCATAAAATTGCGAAATAGCTTAAAGGACGCCAAAATGACACTACAATTACGAATTGACCTTAAGTTCGAAATGAAACTTTCCAATTGCCTTTCGCAACATGAGAAAATAAATTCAAGTAATGAAGACTTTCTGTAGTAGAAAAAGTTCACAATACTTAAGTTATTGACAAATCTCAGACGACTGTAATGAAAATAAAAGTTTCAGCAGTAGCTGCTAGAAAAAGTTAAAAGCTGTAGTTAAGATTAATGATAATGGTCCCTAATTCGTTAAATCTATATAAAATCAAAATCAAAGATTTCTGTTCCTTATAGATTATCATTTTCCTAACAATTTGATTCACTAATTAATAAATGCCTATCGTTCGTTCGTTTGGAATTATTTTTCATTTTGGTTTCCCATATTGAAACTAAAGTAAACCTGTAACCACTTTTGTGCTAATGCGTGATTGTTATATCAGGTACCTGAATTATTATATATTGATTAGCTCACAGAGAGTAGCCATATTTTGAAAATTAAAATTTAATTGTTGATTGGATATTTGTTAAGATGTCAGGTGATCTAGAGAGATATCAGTTAGATTATATTCTTATTAAGCAATGATTTAAAATTAAAGGGAAGGACTGTAGGAGTTATCCAAAACCAATATTAAATTCAAAATTTTGAAGAAAAGGGAAGGTGGGAAATGTCCTGACTTAGAAAAAATAAAATGTAACGAAACGCGTGATAGGCTAATTATAAGGAAATATTAAAGGAGGTGGAAGAAACGAATGGCAGGAGCCTAGAAACAGAATGGAACCGCATTAAAACGTGTCCAGATTCCGTAGCTAGAGATATACCATATTAGATCATAAACAAAACGAAAGTAGGAAACCCTGGATAACTAGCGAGATTGTAGGACTAATAGAAGAAATGCGGGAATACAAGAACTGGATAGACAAAGAAGGTCAAAAACGATACAAGCCAATAAAATGGGAAATAATTAGGAGGTGTATGACAGCTAAATAACAGTGGATTTCTATGAGGTGTAAATAAGAAGCAGAGGAAAAATTTGAAGCAGGTACAACAGATGCAATTTATAATGCACTTAATTAAAAGGAATTTTAGAGAAGTAAAATACAGTAAGTAGTAATAATATAAGAAACGATATAGGGGTCATTTTGATTGAAAATAACGAAAAGGCGGATATGTGGAATGAACACTTAATAAAGAAATGTATTAGAGAAGGAAGATAGTGTTGAAATAGGTGAGCGAGAATATTCCATAACAAAAGAAGAGTTTGATTTAGCATTAAAAAAATTTAAAGCATAATAAGACAACAGGTATATACGAGATACAGGTTGAAATTTTAAAACAAAGAGATTGGAAATCGTATATTTAGGCTAGTTAGTCATTTACAAGAGACGGGGAAATGCCCGAAGGATTATACATATAAACAGAACTTCGTAGTAGCTACACGAAAAAAGAGAGGCGTCATTTTTAGAATAATTAGCTTAACATCCACTGCACCAAAAATCTTAACTAGAATCGTACAGAGAAGGAAGAGAAAAAGGGAGGAAAAACTACTACGGGAAGACCAATTTGGGTTTAGAAGAAATAGAGAAAACAACAGAAAAGGAAAGAACGCGCACATAGAATCGTAGATTTAGAAAAAGCGTTTGACAATGTTAAATGGAACAAGATGTTAAATATACTTAAAAATGTAGGGATGAGATATAGAGATACGGAGATAGGAAAGTGAAATATGGCTTGTATAAAGAGTAACAGGCAGTTACAGAACTTGAGCAGCAACGTAGAGAAGTAAATATCAGGAGGGGGGTCACACAAAGATGCACTCTGTCACGACTACTTTTTAATTTATATATCGAAAACGCGATAAACATCATTAAAAAAAGAGCAACTTTAAGTAGATATAGATATACAGTGGAAAAAGGTGCTTGGATTTACATCAAGCAAAGATGAGCTATAGATAGCCTTAAAAGGACGAAGAGGTATTGACAAAACAGTATTACATGAAAGTAAAAAAAAGTAAAACAAAAGTACTGGTATGCAAAGGAAGAGAAAGTAGGAAAAGAATGAATATAAAGACTGGTGACGATTAGAAGAAATAGCTAATTTTCGGTATCTATAACAACAAAAAAAAGTCACTTCTATGTTCACAAAAGGTTAATTTATGATGATGAGGATACTGTGGATAGAGAAGGTTAAAAATTAGAAGGTATTAAAACGAGTAGGAAAACAAAGGGCGCAATGGAAGTCAATATGAAGTAGACGAGGTTGGTAGGGCACCCTCTCAGGCTTGAAGGTCTAGTCAGAGACATATTAAAGGCAGAAGCGGGAGTTAGGAGGGGTAGAGGTAGACGTAGATTAGATTACTGTTAAGGATATGGGTTCTTCTAGTTTTAGGGAAATGCGAAGATTAGCTTAGGATAGGAAAGAGTGGAGGTGCGTGTCCAACCAGTCTTAGGACTGACAACCCTATGTTGATGATAGAAATTCAGAATATGAGGTTCATGAAATAAATGTCATCTTTTTTGGCTAAACACAAGAGTATCATTTTTTCTTTAGATATTTCCACTACTAGCAACAAACTTTTGCAATTTTACCTCGCTTCTATTAAGTATACAAAATATTCTATTATTGCAGTTTTCTTTTTTCGAAATCGGATATTGCTATCTCAAATTCCCTACATTGAACGGGATTGCGAAAAATATAATTACCGGCAATATTCAGCTGAAAACTAGGGGAAGCAGGCAATTAATTATTAACCCGATAATGAAGCACACTTTTAATTTGCTATTGTTAAGTTCTTGCTAATCACGTATGTACATGGCATCAATGAGGACTTGCGTGCTTAAGCAAATTAAAGCCGTTTATACAAAGCACGTTCAACACACTTGCTTCTATTATCTTAACTGAACCGCGTGTCACGAAGATTACAAGTTGAAAAGGTAAATAGGAAAATTACTACATTAAAAACAAATCTTAGACAGTGGGTAATTTCTATCTTTATCAACCCCAACTATTACATTGATGCATTAAAAACTGTTGAATTATAGTAATAATTGAAGACGTGAGGGATAAAGGTGCTATGTAACAAAATTGGAACTAATGAGGAATTCGCAGTGAAACTACTTTCAATTGCATAAACTGGTACGTAACGCAGCACCTTCATCTAATCTATATTTTCTATTTATCATCATCATCATCATCATAAGGTCGTCAGTCCTAAAACTGGTTGGACACGTACCTCCACTCTTTCCTATCCTGAGCTAAAATTCGCATTTCCCTAAAACTAGAACAGCCCACATCCTTAACTATTTGCGAACAGTAATCTAATCTAGGTCTACCTCTACNCACTAATAATGTCGCAGCCACCGTATTCCCCAGATATGTCCCCATGTGACGTTTTCTTGTTCCCGAAACTGAAGACACCCATGAAAGGACGACGCTACGCTACGATTGAGGAGATAAAGATGGCATCGAAGGAGGAGCTGAACAAGATCACAAAAAAATATTTTTTGAAGTACAATATCTGGTGGGGATTGCTTTGAAGGAGAGAAAATAGATATTCATGAATAAATAAATAATTTTTGAAAAAACACAAAATTCGCGATACTTTTTTAGCAGACCTCGTATAATAAGGATATCGTCTGATGAAGTTTTTCGATAAAGTATTCGTCAATATTGGCTAAGTTGCTACTTTGAATCTTAAAAGCCGTTCACTTGATCCTCATTTTTATCTTCTAACCTGATTGCTTCAAATTAACTAAATTATTCTTATCATGTTTAATATATTTATTAACCTCTTATTAATCTAACGATTTTTACTTTCCAAGTTGTTCTGAACTAAAACAAATTATTATTTTTGCACAACTCTTATTGTTTTTTAACATTCACCTTCCAAAACTTTATTATTTTTGAAACAAAGCAAATATTGCAAAACTCGATTACGTATTGAAAATTGAGATTTGCGCCGTTTAATAATTTCACTCTTGTAAGTTCTCTATGTTAATAGGAAGAATTATTTAGGTATATATGCATATTTAGTATTCAATTTTGACTAATGCTTGTAACAAAATGTTATAAAATACTATTTTCCCTTACCGCCCTTTAAGAAGAATTGAAAGTCTCTCATCGGCAGGACTGGCATCTTCTACAGCATAAATGTCACCTTTATCAAGGGTCATGACCCGCGCTTCTTTAACCAACTCCTTGAAATGCTTTTTACTCACCTTTAACGGCTTAAACATCTGAAAAATGGAAAAATAAAATGTCAAAGCCCTTTACAAATATCAGTTTTTCTTTCACAGTCTACATTTCAAAAATAGAATAGCATCACCATCAATTATTAGGTGTTAGCAGTAGTAGGACTGTAAACAGTTTGTGAAATATTAAAGAGGGACAATATCTTTGATAGAAAAATAAATTTCAGGTATCCTAATTAGTACTTTTTAATTAAGAATAACGGAACCGCCAGAAACATGTGATAAAAAGAAATAAGGCTGAAAAAAGATCCGTGTTTGACAAGATTCTTCACAACGTTGATCAATAACCAACTTCTGACTATTCTTATAAATCAACTAAATTATTAATGTCCTTCTTTAGCATACTTTTACAACACTTAATACGAGGTCTATTCAAAAAGTATCGCGAATTTTGAATTTCTGCGGGTTACGTATATTCGATTTTCAACTTTTTTCTGGCGTTATGTTGGCACTTATGCCTCTCACTTATACCGACAAGTTTAGCCATGTTGAATGTTCAGTTAATTTTTGACAGCTGCTTTACTAGTGCGTGTCTTGGCACGTCTTCAATTTTTGCCTATTCCAAAAAAATGGACCAAAGAATCTTTAGCAAATTTTGTTCGAAAAACAAAATTAAGTTCGCGGATACATTCCGACTGTTGATTGTGGCATATGGTGAAGCTACATTGGGCCGAAGCAACGTTTATCGGTAGTACAAAACGTTCTGGGAGCGAAACTCGTACCAAAATTGCTCAATTTCGGCCAAAAACAGCAACTTTGTCTGCGACAACCTAAATTTGCTCTATAAGGTTATAACTGGTACCGAATCAGGAATTTATGGAAACCACGGAAGCTGCCGCATGAGCCAAGACCGAAAAAAGGGAGCGACGGTAGGTCGAATGTGAAGGCTTTACTTGCAGTTTCCTTCGATTGCAAGGGCGTGCTGCATCATGAGTTCTGAGACAACCATGAAGCAATCCGCCAGAAACGCTTTGATTTGTGGAAAAACAAAAATTGGCTTTTGTACCAAGATAACGCCCCTGCTCACACATAGTTGTCTGTGCGCGAATGTTTAGCCAAAAACAACACACTAATAATGTCGCAGCCACCGTATTCCCCAGATATGTCCCCATGTGACGTTTTCTTGTTCCCGAAACTGAAGACACCCATGAAAGGACGACGCTACGCTACGATTGAGGAGATAAAGATGGCATCGAAGGAGGAGCTGAACAAGATCACAAAAAAATATTTTTTGAAGTACAATATCTGGTGGGGATTGCTTTGAAGGAGAGAAAATAGATATTCATGAATAAATAAATAATTTTTGAAAAAACACAAAATTCGCGATACTTTTTTAGCAGACCTCGTATAATAAGGATATCGTCTGATGAAGTTTTTCGATAAAGTATTCGTCAATATTGGCTAAGTTGCTACTTTGAATCTTAAAAGCCGTTCACTTGATCCTCATTTTTATCTTCTAACCTGATTGCTTCAAATTAACTAAATTATTCTTATCATGTTTAATATATTTATTAACCTCTTATTAATCTAACGATTTTTACTTTCCAAGTTGTTCTGAACTAAAACAAATTATTATTTTTGCACAACTCTTATTGTTTTTTAACATTCACCTTCCAAAACTTTATTATTTTTGAAACAAAGCAAATATTGCAAAACTCGATTACGTATTGAAAATTGAGATTTGCGCCGTTTAATAATTTCACTCTTGTAAGTTCTCTATGTTAATAGGAAGAATTATTTAGGTATATATGCATATTTAGTATTCAATTTTGACTAATGCTTGTAACAAAATGTTATAAAATACTATTTTCCCTTACCGCCCTTTAAGAAGAATTGAAAGTCTCTCATCGGCAGGACTGGCATCTTCTACAGCATAAATGTCACCTTTATCAAGGGTCATGACCCGCGCTTCTTTAACCAACTCCTTGAAATGCTTTTTACTCACCTTTAACGGCTTAAACATCTGAAAAATGGAAAAATAAAATGTCAAAGCCCTTTACAAATATCAGTTTTTCTTTCAAATAAAATCGTCACGCTTTTCCATTGTAAGTTAATAAATAAATGAATGAAAGTGAATTCTTTTTCGGATTTAATTTTATTCTGATATAAATTTGTGAGCAGATAAAATCATTTATTTAAATAAACAATAAGAAAAAATAAAATAACAAATCAAGGAAATTTAATATTAATAGAATTACCAAGGCAAACAAACACGCACATGAAACTTGGATCTTCCTTTAGGTACATAAAGTTGTGAACAGTTCTCGATCAACCGTTTCATTGTTTCAAATTGTCTTTATTTTCTTTTAATGTAAAAAACAACCGAGATATGGACATGTAGCCAAAATTTAAAATTTTCATCTTTTGTTCATAACTCGAAAAAAAAAAGATTGAGAAGCCGCAATTAATATTTTTTATTACTCTTATGGTTACCGATTTGTACTATACAAACGTCAATATTTGTCCACCCTGTACAAAGTGAACGTTGAAACAATGATGAACAAAGCAACTGTTCAAAAGGATGTACATAATAATAAGTACATGCATTAAGAGTCCAACATTTTCTATATCGAACACGAACTTAATAATATTCTCTGGTTTGAAATTAGTTTTTGTTAACCATTTTGAATCTAATGCAAGTTTGCAATCACATAATTATATCTCCGTATGCAACACAATGAAACTAGCCAACAGGACAACTGATGAAAGACAATTTAACTTTAATATGTACACTAAAAGTAAAAGTACTAATGTGATGTTAAAAATATGCTTTTGTATTTTTCTTATATATTGTTTAATTTATCTAATGAAATATTTGCTCTTTGGAAACAATACATAAACAAATACAATTAATAAGGTGCTTTTTGGAATTAAAAATTTTAATATACATTTAATACTCAATGTGCTCCATTACTTTCGATATTTTTTTTTCGGGCAACTAATAAATTAATCAAAGCTTTGTTGGACCTCCTCAACTGATCTAAAGTTCTTATTAGCCAGGTGATTCAGGAGCGATCGGAACAGATGGTAATACGACAGACCAAGATCTGGTGAATACCCGTAGGAAAAAATTTCCTTTGAACTTCAATGGGAATGAATGGAAAATTTGTAAATTCCATTCAAAATCATTTGGCATTAATAGAAAAATAATTGTTTCCGTTTACAATAATACCATTAATATTTACATAGGAAAAATTTCCATTGATTTTCAGTGGGAACCAATACAAAATTTATAAATTCTATTTAAATCATTCAATATAAATGGAGAAACAATTGTTTCCATTTTGAATAATTCCATTAATATTCTTGGATATGAATAGACAAGTTTTATTTCCCAAAGAACTCCAATGAAATAATTAAGAAATGAAATATTTTTTGGTTTTTGAATTATTTATTAAAATGATGACAAAAAAATAAAAACAGTCATCCATGGAAAATTAAAATATGAGTCAAAGAAATTTGGCGTCGGTTTTACGAAAGGAAAAAAAAACAATAAGAATTCGGTACCTAAAAATGGAGAAGATCTGATTTGAGATGATTCAAATTTATTAAAAAATGGAGAAAAACGTGTCGAAGTTAATGTGGTGGTCAAAGCATGTTGTAAAAATAATAAACAAGATATTATTTGGAATAATAATTGTCACGTAATTCATATTGTTTATTGTCGAAAAACCTCATATTTCATCTTGATTAAGAAAAATGTCATTTAATTTCCACTAACAACGATTAGGTAAAGGTAAAAAATAAAGAATTGTCACTAGGACTTCCATTGGGTTCAGGAATGGAAGTTCCAATGGAACTCAATGGAAATTCCATTAAATGGCATTCTTTTAATGGAAATAGAATGCAAATTTTTTTCCTACGGGTAAGCCGCGTGAGGGAGAAGAAAGTCCCAACCCAATCCACAGATTACATCTTTGGTCGCTTTTGCAACATTATCATGTTGCAAAATCCCTTGTCTAGTGCCGCTGCCAACGAAAAGACACTTTTGTTCTATAGCATTGTTCAAACGTATAAGTTGCTATTGATAAAAGTCTGATTAGAATTTAACAACTCATAATGCATTACGCCTTTCATACCCACCAGATACATATCAGCAACAATTTTTGTGAATGAATGTTGGGTTTTGGAGTCAATGTAGACGGTTCGTCAAGACTTACCCAAGATTTTTTACGGTTAGCGTTATCGTACAGCACCCATTTTTCTTCGTCCGTGATAACTTTGTAAAGAAAATCTTTTCTTGAAAATCTGATTAACCAAGAAAAGGCAATGACCCGCCGCTTATTGCTCTCTGGGGTCAACTTATGCGGGATCTATCTACATGCTTTTGAACTTTACCAAACTGATTTAAACGATGTGAAATGTTGAGTAACACCTAGTTATAGTGCAAGCTCAGCACCAGTCTGAGAAGGATCTTCTTGTTAACAGTTTTTCGAATTCCTTATCGTCAAACTTTTATGGTTGCCTCAAGCATTCTCCATCTAAAAGATCAAAATCTCCCGTTCTAAACATTTAATACAACTTCTTACGACGTTTTCCCCCAGGGCAGCACAAATCATATCTGCAGCTTCAGCTGCATTCATCATTAATTGAAAGTATCTCAAATGTTGCTTGTTATATTCCTTCGTTTATCAAATATATATATTGGTAATTATTGGCAGCAACTTAATAACTTAACAACTTAATGATATTAATTTATGAAACTTTGATATAAAATGACTAAAATACAAAATAAAAGCACCTTTTTAATTCGTATATTTTAATTTTAATGTTAATTCTCTCCTTCTAAGCCAATAATTAGAAAAAAGGAGCAATAATAGGGGTTGTAGATTAATTTATTATGAAAACAATTACCTTAACCTTTCGCCCCTTGTGCAAGGCTCTTTCAAGGTTACAAAAATTGAATTGTTGTAAAGGACGTTGTCGAGATGTCACCCAAAGGTAAAATTAATTTAAATTTGAGGTGGTAGAATTGCCTCCGAGGTACTGGTCGATTTGGCTCCCGTTTATACCTGCTCCGATAATTTTATTGCGTATGTTTCTAAACACTTATCATTACACAGGTTTTTTGAAAACTAAACTTATAAAGTTGTCAAAAATTAAGAGCTGCTTTTTCCATATATACGAACAGTTATTAAGAAAAAAAAAAGATTAGAAGCGTTAGAAATGTGGTATTACAGGCAAACGATGAGGATACCGTGGATAGAGAAGGTTATTAGAAAGAATAGGAGAACAGAGGACTCTATGGGAGTCAATAAGGAATAGGCGAGGTACCGCGGTAGGACACCTTCTCCGACAAGAAGGTCTAGTCAGAGAAATATTAAAGGCAGAAACAGAAGTTCGTAAATAGTTAAAGATGTTAGTTGTTGTAGTTTGAGGGAAATACGAAAATTAGCTCAAGATAGGAAAGAGTGGAGGTGGGTGTCCAATCAGTCTTAGGACTGACGAAATGATGATGATGATATTACTATTATTAAAAAATAGGCGAGATAGGTTGGTAGGACACCTTATCAGGCATGAGGGCCAAGTCAGAGACATATCTAAGGCAGAAACAGGGATTAAGAGTAGTAGAAATGGAACTAGATGAGATTACTGTTTGCAAATAGTTAAGGATGTGGGATGTTCTAGTTTTAAGGAAATGCGAAGATTAGCTCAGGATAGGAAAGAGTGAAGGTCTTAGGACTGACGACCTTATGATAATGAGTTATTAAGATAATAGACATCAAATAAGTAATTAATAATGGGTTACAAATTGATTGCAAATATGTGAGTTATTGTTATTGTAATATTACAGTTTATTAATAATGTCTTTACAATCATTGTTGACCATTAGCACTTAAGATCATCTAACGCCGCCGCCAAGAAGCAATTCGACAGTCATTAGGAGGCAATTTGATCTACCAAAAATTTTAACCCTTATTAAAAGCAGGTGGACGGGAGCCAACTAGGTATAGTTGGTTTTAAATTGTTTCCATGATAAACTAATTCTACAGTCCCCATTATTGTTCCTTTTTTCTTATCTATACTTTAATATTATTATGATTTTGCAGAAAACGTAATTTATTTACTTGATGGGGTATTTCAAACTGTGCAGTTGTAGTTTAGCGTTGATATGGTACATAAGTTTATTATTTTATTTTACTAGAAGTTTGCAGAATCCGTATATATAATCTATTAAAAATTGCTCCACCTTCCTCTATTTTCTTTGAAAACAAATGATGTTCATTCAAAAGAACATGGCATACAATTTTGATCAATAATTCAGTGTATTTTTCATCTAACTATTTATGTTCATTAATCCACAACAATTTAAACTGTCACGTTACACATTGTTAGTTTTCAATTAAAAATGAATTGGGGTTGCGCCTTTAATAATAATTACTGACAATTTAATTAAGTAAATATTAGTAATCAGTTCTATTGCATGACGGTTTCAATCTGGCCATGAACTTTTCCGAGTTAATGCTCTTATAATTTAACAATTTAGCACTAATGTTTTTGATTGATATGTAAACATGTCCATCGACATTCAGATACATGTACATTATTACTCCTAACTGACTGAAGGAAATAACCGCCCCGTCTGGGTGGCGTTGGACTAATAATAATACTAAAAAAAATGTTTACCACTCCCAGGTAAGCTGATTCATTCCCTGTGGGTAATCGATTTTCATTATTAAATACAAAAATTGAGAAAATGTGGAAAATTGAGGAAATTAAACTTTTTGTCGTGTGTGAATGGTCTCCATGAACACATTCGGCACACAACTGAAAACGCTATAAACGAGAAATACAAAATTTATTTATTTATTTGTTTTTTACAAATGTAAATTATAGCAGAGAAGGAAAAAATAAATATAATTCTAATAAGAACGGGCTAATGGCAAAGAAAAAATTTATTTGAACGAAAGAACCTTTTGGCGAGTTTCACAATGTTATGGAAGATAGAGGTAAGGAATACTATCTGCAGTGAAAAAGTGTCCGTCAAACTGCGTTAAATTAGGATGGCGTCACAATAGCAACAGGGTAAATTTCAAATAAAGCGCCAAAAGTTATTAGAATAGGATATAAAAATAAACAAGAACAAAATTACTTGAACTACGTAATTAGTTGACGTTTGGTATATTGGACTGTAACTAACTATTCTAAAATTCTGATTCTACATATCATATTTAGTATATTTTATCTTTCCTCATGTGATAGAGTATCATATTGTTTGTAAAATCGCGATCTCGCAGCGCGGCGTGCCAAAACTAAAATAAATTTAATATCAATTGATTTACTAATTTATCATTATCATAAGGAATTTCTGAAAAACTAGAACAATCTACGGTAAAGGTCTAGATGATGGGGGATCGAAAGGGGAGGTCTCCCTGACCACTGTACCATAAAAAGTTCGTAACGGTCTCATCCCCATAAAAAGTTATGCTGGTTCAAAGTTAATAAATATGCCAATTTTTATACATTTCTAGGCATGTAAATACTTATATAATCATTCTTAAACAATATCCAAAGGTAAAACTAATGAAAAATACATAAAAATATTGAGAAATATATATATCAATAGGGTAGGTTAGGTAAGGTTAGGTTAGGTTATCGGGTTTTGTTCAAGTGACCACCCTCTTTCGATCCCCCACCTCCACCCGCTTGAAAATAATTTTTTTATTGAATTTTATTTGAATTATAGTGTATAAAAATTGTCAAAATAATCAACTTTCAACGCCCATAACTTTTTATGAGGGTGAGACCGCCGCAAATTTTTTATGGGGTTTTACTCAGGTGACCACCCTCTTTCGATCCCCCCTATCCTCTTTCGACCTCCCCTACCCTCATCTAACCCCCATAAATTTTTATGGGGGTGAGACCGCCACGAACTTTTTATGGTACAGTGGTGGGGGAGATCTCCTCTTTCGATCCCACCCATCTCACCATCATCTAGACATTTACCCAACCTACATCTCAAACAATGTGTTTGTGAACTTTAAATCTAACTCTAGATCTACCTCTACCTCTCTTAACTCCCGTTTCTGCATCTGTCCTATCAACTTATGTCGCCAATTTCTCATTTACTTCAATAACTCCCTCTGTTCTCCTATTCTGCTAATAGGTACTTTATCATTTCCAACCTTATCTATTTAAGTTAATTAAATTCAGTTACTAAATATACGAAAAATGTTCCTTGTAATAATAGTAATGCTACATATTTAATTGACTAATAACACAGCAAATAATAATTTAACAAGAATAACATAACGTCTGTTTGCTTTTTCATTTCAAATAATTCACATTGCATTACTCTGTGTAATATCGCAATACATTAAATACCAAATGAGCAAAATTTGTATGCTAATAGCTAATAATTTCTTTGGGAATAAGCATATTGGAAAAATAATTGGTAGGCGGTAAATGAGAGCTTGAGTAATGCCATCTATCGCGTAAAAGCGTGGATACATTTTATTCAAGAATGCGTGATCAACATGTTTTATTTTTGCTTTTGTGAAAGTATAAAATGATTATTTACCAGAACGTTAAAATGTATGTATTTAATATGTTATACAGGGTAGTCCATTCAGCGCGCCTTGCTGGCTAGGTGTCTTGCCGTTGAAATTGAAAGAAAATATTTCCAATAAAAAACGTCCCTGGTCCAATGATCCATCTGCGGAAAATAATTTCAGAGATGGCAGACTTCCGGATACACCGGATGTATACATCAGCTGCTTTATTTTAAATGGAATACCCTGCGCCTAGGATCTATCCGTTTTCTCAGCACATTACAGAATAATTAACAAATCGCAATTATTTTGAAAATCGTTAAGCATACTCCAATAATCCTTAATAAAATCGATTTAATTTTGTATCTAACGATGTCAAAATTAACATAGCTTCCCATTTGAAAAAAATGAGTTATTGATGTTTGAAACATTTAAAATTTGAACATTACTAGTGTAATGATTTAATGTGCTTTGAAAGAAATTTTTAAATGGATAGCCTAGTGCGTTTCATGCTCTTTTAAACAGCAACAGCCGCATCTTTTTACAGAGTATAACTCCTAAAATTTTTGTAAAATACTACAAACGTCAAATTTTCTAGAAATTACTAAATAACTCCAGTCATACTGCACAAACAAAAACGATGCTTAACAAGCTGGGCATTAAAATCGATGCTAAATTCAAAACTGTAACAATATACAGGGTGTTCCATTTAAAATAAGGCAGCTGATGTATACTTCCGGTATACATTTTCTTCCAATTTCAACGCCAGACCGCTAGAGAGCAAGGCTCACTTAAGTATGTTTGGGAGGTACAATCGGAGACAAAAGTACATAAAATTAGAAATTCGTGATTAATTAGGTTTTGCAGCATGAGGTAAATAAATACTATCTATACTAAAAATAAAGTATAAAAGTATACGGTTTGAGAGCAAATTTGGAATTTGACCAAAAACTTTGAATGAAATAAGAAATAACGAATAATATGGAAAATTTTTAACTGACTTTTGGCAGTGAATATGCCTTGATTTTAACTAATTTAGTTTCAATCTCTATTAATAATGAGCGTAAAACTTTTTAATATGTTTAAATAATAATTAAAACTTTAAAATTGCATTTATTTCAGACAATTATAAATATTATCAAGTAAAAACGAGATTCTTAGTTAATTTTTCATTTTTTTCCTCGATAACCATTTAGTGAATTTGAATAACCTTACGCTAAAGTGATTCTCCAGAGTTCAAGTTACTTATTATAAAAGTTTGAAATTTTTTGGTAGCTTTTTTTCTGTTAATAAAAATAAATTTAGTCTGTTTGGTTAACGAATCTCCATAAAATGACGTGTAAAATTACAATTTTTTAAAATTTCAACAGCTTTTTAACGGTTTAGTGAATCGATTTGTAATTTTTACAGGAATTTTAGAATTGAATTAGGAACGTTCTTCCAAATTTTTATTTGTCTGGTAGCATTTTGACATACCTCCCACACATCCTTAATGGACTACCCTATATAAAAAACGCTGACATCCACACGATGGTTGGTATTACCTTTCAGATTTTAAATGATTAGGGCGTTATAACGAGCAGCGAGAGTGACAAAAAAGGAAATATACATAACTACAACAAAGTAGATATATATAACGTTTAATATAAAAGAAAAATGACCAAGCTGTAGTCTATAGGAGAAAGTCATATATATAGCTATCTCTAGTGATGAGAAAAACTGTAGTTTTGGTCTTGGTCTTACGTTTTCACAAGACCACTTTTGCGGAATATCTTCGCTTTAATGGCTAATTTATCGAGTCTGCCTATGGCGTGGTGATGAGAACTAATAAGTTTGATATCACGATCTGGCAGTTTCAATAAATTACTGACCAAGAATCAATATAAAACCTGAACGTATCGTAACTAACTTAGGATGCTGATGCATCACATACACATTAAAGAATTAGTTCACGCGCAATCTCTCACTACTGTTACTAAACGTCATTACCTTTAAATATAATTCGGTAAGGTCCAAGGTCAGCGTAGGTGGCAAAAATTTCCAAGTCAATAAAGCTGCGTGAACAAAATTTAAGATGACCAGTACGGAGTTCCACAAAAGTATGTCAAAGGCACAGACTTCGAGACCAGCCCAACACGTGGTGAAGACATATCCCACGGCGAGCAGTGCTCTGTAAAAAATTGAATTAAATGCATATTATTAACTGATATAGATGTATTTCTTGAGTAAGTTAAGTGAGGATGCGTGGGTTGGAACAAATTCATTTAAAATTGGGATTTTTGGGAAAACGTTCGAACACGTCGATCTTTATTTTGGATTAAGGATTTTTCATGGAAAATTCATATATATATGGTGGCCCAAAAATAAGCGACTACTACCGACTCTATATTTTTTAAAAGGTAGCATCTATCTTTTATTACATTTTTGAATTCTGCATTGAATTGGAACTATGTTTCGTGTACCATGTCTATCTAAAAACTGCAGTTATCGATTTTACGAATGATTTCTTTCAAATTTGGGAAAGCGCAAAGATTGGAACAAACACATTTAAAATAAAGGAGTTTATTTTTTGGAAATTTATTAAACAATAAAACAACAAATTATTTAATTAAATGTTCAAATTACTGACATTAACATCCTGACAATGGGCAAGTAAATCTTAAAGGTCTCATAACACTGTTAAGGTTTGTTGCTGGATTTGTTCTATTTCAGCTCTAATTCTGTTCTTCAATTCTTCAATATTTTCCAGTTTATTGAAGTAAACTTTAGATTTCAGATAACCCCACGGATAAAAATCTAATGCGGTCAGGTCTGGATAGATTTGATAGTGCCTCTCGTTCCGATCCATTCATTGGAAAAAATATTGGAATAGTGTAAGGGTGCTCCATTCTATTGAAGTCATACCGAATCTGCTGATATATTTGGGTAATGCGCAGTTAATCTGAGTATTTAGTAATTTTACAGTTGGTACAAGTACATGAAACATAGCTAAAATTCGATGCAGAATTCGAAAATGTAATAAAAAATGGGTGTTTCTATTTGGAAAAATAATATCGATAGTAATCGCTTATTTTTAGGCCACCTTATATGCATCAATTTAACAAAAAAAGCCCACAGCCAAAAATTAAGATGTACGTGTCTGAGCGTTTTACAAAAAACAAACCCCTTAATTTTGAATGAATTTGTTCCAACCTGCGCATCCTCACCATATGTATAAACTGACTACTATTTTTTTCTGTTATAGATTTTAACTAATATATTTAAATACGTAATTTTTATAGATTTCTTTCACTAGAAATCATGGAAACGCGTTAGCCGATCCACCCATTGTAGTTTGTACAAGAGCTTCGTCAAGGCTCAACTCAAGATTGCTGATAATTATAAGGGCAGAATTGTATTCGACATCTTTAAACAAAAGAAGTACCAAATTCTAAATTGTCTTTCATTTTTCGAATCTATTAGATAGCAAATGCTGAATGTGTTCATAATAATGTGCTGTACGCTAGCTGTCATACAGCAAATTACGCCGAGTAGTAAAATGTTCGTGTGCAGTGTGTCCATCCATTAAAATTTCACTGTGCAAAACACAAGAGAACAAAGTCGCCCAAAATAGTCGAATTCTGAATAGGACTGATACGCTTGGTAAAGGCAAGTGGCATAATTCTCTTCAAAAGAAATATTTTCTACATTAGAAACATTTTATTAACAGACATTGATAGGTGCATATATATGGGTACATGCTCAAGTTACAAAATCATTACGTTAACACCTTGAATTTCTAGACTGGAGAACTAGTGTCGGATGATAATCGGGCTTGCCAATACTGCATGGAACTATTCGAATATTCCAAAATCGCTAAACTTTGTATAAACTTATATATCACCAAAAACCTTTTTTGAAGATCACCCAAGACGGTCACACTGCTCGTGTGGGTGTGTGTGCACTACATAGATGAATATATGGACGCTTATTTATTTCGTAAAATATTTACAGGAGTAAGTAACAATTCGCATTCTGCAAGCACTGCAAATTGTTGAGATTCCCCGTGCCAAGGTTAACTCTTTCGTAACCAATATATTCTTATCTTATAAAGGTAGTAAAGGGGTGTCTACTGTCGTGATAAAAATAGCATAAAATAATCGTAATCGTGGCAATAATATTCCCAAGAACTAGACAGATTCTTCAAAAAAAGTGCGCTCAAGAAATAATCGACATTACTTTTAAATCATTTTTATTGCATTTGTTGAACTACATGTATTTAAACTATTCTGATGTGATGCCTACAATAGTGAAGGTAGAAACAAATAAATAGCCACCTAGTATAATTTCAGACTTGCACACAAATCGTTAGTAATGTTCGGCGCCTCCGCCACAATTTATAAAAAACAAACTTTTGATGGTTAAAGTTATCGCCTTTTCAAACCAACGGACCCATGTTAATAAGTTATTTGCATTATAAACCACCTATGACTTAACGAAACAATCAGTTACGGGTCAGAAGCTGCAAATCTCCCCAGGGTAGTTTGGATTGTGTTAAAACTGTCTATATATAACGAGATGCAGATAATCAACAAATTCAAAATTGAGATTCACTGATAGTTTCGACAAAATGATGACTAGAAATTCTTGTTTAACAAAAGTACATGTCTGCTGTTTACTTTGTTACAGATCAATTTCACATCGTCCATGTTTTGCATTCGTACAGCACCGCGTTCCAAACATACACGTTTAACAAACTATATCGAATTTCTAAATTAACCATTGGCGAGCATAAAAGTGACTTCTTCTTATTGCAGGCGACTCGGTCCTGCGCTATCCTCTGCTTTATATACCTACTACTCCTTCCTTCCTGACTTATCTGCTATAGAACCCTTTTTGGCACACCCTTTTTTGGACAAACTCCATCTCAACAAAAAGTGAACTGATAATAGATCAGTACTGTATGAAAATAAATAAAAGTAAAACTAAAATACTGGTATGCCAGGGAAGAAAATGTAGGAAAAGAGCGAATATAAAGACAGGATGCAAAAAATTAGAAGAAGTGGCTGATTTTAGATACCTAGGAAGTCAGATAAGTGAGGATGGAAGGAGTAGTAGGGATATAAAACAGAGGATAGCGCAGGGTCGTGTCGCCTTTAATAAAAAGAAGTCACTTCTATGCTCGCGAACGGTTAATTTAGAAATTCGAAAAAGTTTGATAAACGTGTATGTTTGGAGTGCGGCGTTGTACGGGTGCGAAACATGGACAGTGGGAGCGGCGGAATAGAAAAGGTTAGAAGCGTTCGAAATGTGGTGTTATAGGCGGATGATGAGTATATCGTGGGTAGAAAAGGTTAGAAATGAAGAGGTATTGGAAAGAATAGGAGGACAGAGGACTCTATGTAAGTCAATAAAAAATAGGCGAGATAGGTTGGTAGGACACCTTCTCAGGCATGAAGGTCTAGTCAGAGACATATTAGAGGCAGATACAGGAATTAGGAGGGGTAGAGATAAGATTACTGTTCGCAAATAGTTAAGGATATGGGTTGTTCTAGTTTTAGGGAAATGCGAAGTTTAGCTCAGGATAGGAAAGAGTGGAGGTACGTGTCCACTCAGTCTTAGGACTGACGACCTAATGATGATGAATAGTTTTATGTTTAAGACCCCTTTAAGTTGATACAAACCGAAACAGGAACCGGGATAACCTTCTCAACAACTGCACATCTTTAATATTGAACATTAAACTGAAACTAAATTTTTATCTTCTACAGTCTACATATTACTCCAAATTATGTGGAAAAATTGTTGCTGCTGTCACACCCTCGATGAAAATCGAACCCGGGCCCCCTACAATAGGCCTGTTACTAATGACATTCTCGAATAACAATAGCTACATCTGGAAAATGCGATAAATATCTAAATAAATAAATGAGTCAGGCTGCTTTGCATGATCAAACAGGGTCTGTACGCACATATGTAGTAATGAAAATAAATAAACAAACAAAATAACTGAGAAAACAGGAAACAGCGGTTCTCGTCCCTATTACAAAATGAAACATTAGGGTTCTGCCTTTTATTACTGGCTTGGTCATCAAAAACATGCCGTTGTTATGGTTAAATGCAGATCGGTTGCTTTTGGCAGAATTTTGTATATTTTTATTAAGACAAAAACATCGTATCTCGCGGAAACCCTATAACCTTTTCACGGATCACCAGGGTTCCCCGGAAAACCATTTGGGAACTGTTGTTCTAGATATCGGTTAGTTTTGGTTTTTAAATTTGCCTTGTTTACAAATTCTGATTGCAAATTTTATGACCGGCATTTTGCAGACACTTTCAAAGCATTAAACAACAAATGAATATTGGAATATATGGAAAATAAAAAAAATAATAAACGATAATTGACTTTTTATTATTTACTTTTTATTACTTCGGTAATATTTGCAGTTTCATGCAACCCTTTTATGTGAATGAAAATATTCTGAAGTCTTTAATTCTAAAGTTGTGACACTACCGTATTTTTGTCTATCAAGCTGTAGAAGCGGAAGGCATCACCAAAAGAATCTTCTACCTCTCAGGAAGCTTCCTTGAAGCGTAAATAAAAGCAATAACCAAAACTGAAAGCCAAAGAAATATTCGTTCTTTTGAGATCTGAATAAGATTAATAATGATGATAATTATAATAATATTATACAATCTATCTAAAAACACATTAATAAAAAATTTATCACTCTATCGGTCGTAAATTTAAACATTTTTAGAAAACATAATGTAACTCCGATTAAAAACATTTAATGCAAGTTAAAATAGCTATTGTATCAATATAAACGTAGGGTTCATATTTTGGAATTTACTGAATTCATTGCAACACTTGTAACACTTTATATGTATATTGGACAATGTGCAAGAGAGCTACCAACCTAAGAATAAAGAACAATTGTTCAGTACCAACAAAAAATACAAAAAAAATACTCCTCCAAACACTATGCCTCTTTCCTTTATATATAAAAGTGATATGCTGTCCGATTCCGAAAGCTTATAAATTAAAGATTCTCCAATTTAACAAGAACCCTTGTAAGTCAAATTAAACTTTATAGGCTCCTCACTCATTCTAGATATAGTGGAATTCGTTCATTTTGACTCCGTCTATATATATATACATACATACATACATACATCTATATAACCAAC